CTGGGCAAAATATTTATAACTGTTTGTATAATTAAATTAAATAGTTCTTTATTCAATCATGTTCGTCAATAAAGGACAAAAATAGCTTTGACAAATAACAGTTATTTTATATAGTAATATCAGCGTACAGCCTAAATATATATTCCCTAGTTCTATATAAACGCCGTTTAGCTGGTCTGTTTATATAATAAAATCATAAAACAGTAACACTCTCACGTATCTATAGCATCCCACCTAGCCCTAGTGTAAGCTGACAATATTCTACATACACATACATACTATATACATTATGAAACATTATTGTATTACCCACAGTCAACATGAACTACATCACACGTCTGACGCTCTCGCACAACAAGATCACCGTCATCAGTCCTGGTATTGCGAACTTGCTGAATCTGGAAATCTTGAACCTATCGAACAATCTGCTCACCGAGCTGCCCGTTTCGCTGTCTTCGATGCCGAAGTTACGGATTTTGAACTGTTCGATCAACCGACTGGACAATCTGCCGCGTGGCTTCGGGGCCTTTCCTGTGCTGGAGGTGCTCGATTTGTCGTACAACAATCTGAGCGAAAAGGTGCTGCCCGGCAACTTCTTTGGCATGGAGACGTTGCGCGCTTTATACCTCGGCGACAACGACTTCGAGTACCTGCCAAAGGAGATCGGCCAGCTGAAGAACTTGCAGATCTTGGGACTGCGCGACAACGATCTGCTGGAGCTGCCGCGAGAGGTGGGCGACCTGGTGCGGCTGCGTGAGCTGCACATACAAAACAATCGACTGCAGGTGCTGCCGCCGGAGGTGGCGCAGCTCGACCTGCTCAGCAACAAGTCGGTGATGAAAATGGAGGAGAATCCCTGGGTGAATCCCATTGCGGAGCAATACCTGTTGGGCATCAGTCATGTGATCGACTATCTCAAGACTGAAACCTACAGAATGTGAGCTTGCACAGCAAATCCATATAGATCTATATAACTCACTCTTCTTCTCCATTTTAGCATCTACAATCGCCACATGCAGGGCGGACGCAGCGGACCGCCGCCGCCCAAGGCTGACAAAAGCAAGAAAGCATCGCGAGTGCGCGCATAGTGCACAACAGCAGGCTTTACTGTACTCGTAGCTGCTTAACTGCCACCGCAGCTACATTTGTGTGTGTTTCTCTTTTTAACCAAAAAAAAATTGTTTTTTGTATACTAATTTATAAGTATTTTATAATATTAATATTTAATTTTGTCAAAGTGCCTTCAATGTTTGCTAACAAATGCGAATAAACTAGAAAATATATTTTCTAAAAATAAATTGTCTTTTATTTAAATCAGTTATTATTCTATAGAAACTTTAATAAATACAAAGAATAATTATAAAATATTTTAAGGTAATGCAAAAAAAAAGAAATATATATATATAATATATTTATGGCGGTTCTTGTAGTGATGTAAATCCGAAAAATATTATATTATTATATTTTTTTGTAATATTTTACTTAATAATATATATAAGTAAACTATATAAAACTACTTACCCACCCTATTGCAATACTTACTTCCTGCATAGAATCCTTTAAGCATTTATATTTAACACATTCAAAAAAGAAAATGAAGTTTTGTATTTTATAAAATAGTAGTTTTGTTCTTGTTTTTATTATCATCTCTTATGTTCATTCTTAGTTTTATGTGATGTTTTTTATGTTTTTTGTAGCAGTGTTTTTTCTTTAGCCTTAAAGTCAATTAATTAATTCATTATATATATGTATATATAACTAAATTAATAGTTTAAATGTTTTTTGTTTTTGTGTTCCGGTTGTCTGTTCTTGTTGTTGTTGCTTTTGTTGTTTTTGTCTTGCGTTAAACTAATAGCATAGTCTGCCTTTGTTCATCAATTTAAATTTAAATACATATTATATATATATTTGTATATATACTTCAATTTAAGTAATTACTGTTAAACTTATGTCGTTTGTTAAACATTTATTTGTTTTACTTAATTAATGCATAATTTTCTTAAATTTTTCTTGTGTTTATTTCTTAGAGACTTTCTATGTACAAGTTTTGTTTTGTTTTTTGTTTTTTTTTTTTTCTTGTCCAAGAAAAATATGTTTTGAAAGAAGTTTAATAAAAGTTTTAAAAATTAAGTTTGTATTTGTTGAAGAGTTGAAGTGCGAAATTATTGCCATTTAAAATTGTAAAATACCTTTTAAAAATAAAACTGACTCAAGTACCTTAATTATTTTCTATGGCTACAAATAGTCAAAGGAAATTTCTAAATTTGTTATGTTTAAGTTTTTAAAGATCTTTATGATGATTTTGTATTTAGTTGAGAATGATTCGAATTGCATAAGTAACAGACAAAAACAAAAAACATAAACTAGAAAATCTAATCAAAATTACAACAAATGATTGAATTTGTTTAACTAAAGTGAATATTAATATATATTTGCAATATATATATATAGGAGCTGAGTATAATATATAACATAATCAGTTGCGGGCTGGATAGAAATGATTAAAACAGCTCATTAGACATTTAAATATAAAGCTTTTAACCTAATACAAGATGACAAAATCAATACTAAATCGAATACTAAATATATAATTTTTACATTATTTTTTAGGGAAACTTAAGAAATGCTTTGATTATTCAATTTTCGTTCATTTAAATTCAGCTTACAAACTTTTAACAAATATTAATCAAATTTCCCAGTTTTAAATAAAGAAAATCATTATTTCATTACTTGTTTTTTCTTCGTTTTTCTTTTCTCTCTTCCTCTCTTACAAATGCAAAATATTTGACGGCTTTGAAAGAATTTGGCTTTTCATACATTATTTAAATTTATTTAAATGCCATTATTTTTGTTAAGGTTTTCCTTTAATTTTGTACATAAACAATTATTTGAAATTTTAAATATTTTTCGGTTGCCTTTTGCTCTTTACTAAATGTTTGACATTTCAATATTTTGTTTTCTCTTTTTATATTGTATTTTTAGCATGTTTTTTGTTGTTCGTTTTGCGTACATCTAAATATTATTTTTGTTTATTTACTTTTTTTTTTTTTTTATATTCATGTTGTTGCTGCTGCTTTGTAAATAAGTACGCACAATCATTAAATATATGTATATATATTTTTGTCTGCTTTCAATATATATATATATTTATATTTGATGCAATTTGCATTTTGAATTATTTATAATAATAATGATTTGCATTCTTATTTCAATTAATTCAATCAAAAATATCGCTTATAATTTTTGTCGCTTTTCTTGTTCGTTTTCCTCTTTATTATGTTGGTACCTCAGAAATTGTTCGTCAATTTGTTGTTGTATCTCGTTTAAATAAAAATAATTAGCATAAAAATTACATTTACATTTAATTTGAGTTCATTTGATTTTTGTTCTTGTTGCAGTTGTTGTTGTTGCTGTTGTTGTTGCAGCTGTGCTAGCTGTTGCTGTTGGTGTTGCTTTTGTCGCTTTCCTTTTGGTTTTGAATGGCGCTCCGACATTAATTTTGGCTGTCAAACTTTGCTATTGTTGGGCGCCCGCCTCGTCGACTCATAGTGGCCACGCCCCAATGCCGCATAGGCATCAGCATAGGCGTGCTGCTCCGACTCCTGCTGCTGTTGCAGCTCCTCTAACGTCTGTTGCTGTCGCTGTTGTTGATGCTCATGCAGCGATGTCGGTCGACTATAGCTTACTTGTAGCGGCGGCGGGGGCGCGACGCCTAAGCCAGATTAAATACATATAGGTGAGGGAGACAAAGTCAGAGCGAGAGCCACAGCGAGAGATAGAGACAGATGGAAAGAGAGAAAATTTGTACATTAAAAGTTGTATTAGTTTCTCGACTTGTAGTTGCTAGTGGCGCCAGCTCAAGTGAAGTTGGCCCTCCCCCCCCCCCCCCCCCCCGGGCAGCTACTTGAATTAGGCCATGTGCAGCTTATCGATTTATATTAAAGTATACACACACACACACACACACACACACATACACGCATATAGTTAAACTTGGTTTTAGTAGTTGTTAGTAGTTTTCTTCCTTTTTTCGGTTTTTATAACTATGCAAATGAAATGCCTTTTGGAAACAACTTGCATAAATTCCAGCAAAGTTCAAAGTTTTGATATTGGCAACGAAATAAAAAATAATTTTATTCGCATGAAATCAAGTTTTGAAGTTTGTTTTTAAATTAAATTTTTAAGGTTAAAAAAAAGTAAATAAAATTTAAATATACTTATTTGCATACAAAAATAAAAACCAGCAAATAATTAACTTCACAAAAGGGACTTTCATTTGCCTCAATTGTTTCATTACAATTATTTTTGTTCGTTTTCTTTCTTGTGTACTTTTATTCTTTAAAACTACTAAAAAAAAAAAAGAACTTAAATGTTATTTTTATTTGATTTATGTTAGTCATGTACTGTTTTATATTTGTTCTGATTTATACTTTTTCTTTTATGTTTTATTTATATAATTGTTTATTTCTTAATTTAAGTGCATATATACAACATTTTTATATGTACACAATTTATGGTTATTTGCATTGCATTTAGTTAGTTGAGTTAGTAAGCAACATTAGTCTTAATGATTAATAAAATCTTTTTTTCTTTTTGTGTGCATGCAATAACAAAAACAACAACAATACAAATTATGGGAAAGGGTGAAAAAATAAAAAACAAATTCGAAACATGCCAGAAACAGAAAGAGAGCAAAACAATCAAAGGACAAACAACAATAATAACCATAATAATAATAATACTAAGAGGAATACGAGGTGCTGTTATTAGAGCCGATGACCAGAAGGAAACAAAATCAAGAACGACAAAATTCCAGACGGGCTAAATACAATCGAATCGTGAAGGAAATATAAAAGAAGAGGCTAGTGGAAATTATTCATACCAATTGCAGATCAAATTCGTTTTGTGTGGGTGGGTGAGGGGGGCAAAGCCGTTTGCGTGGAACGATGGAAATGGCACGCTAGCAGGCGCGTGGAAGTTTTCTATATATATAAATTGTAGTTATGTTTGTATGGTATATGGCATGTGTTGAGGCGTTCCAATTCCAAGCGTTCCACATTTAGTAAACAATATTGCGGCGCATCTTGCCAGCGGCTGCTGTTGCCTTGTCTTTGCTGCTGCTGCGGCTGCGGTTGCTGTTGTTGTGTTTGTTGTTGTGTTGCTGTTGTAGTTGTTGTTGTTGTGTGTCTTTGGCTTTGGCACTTTTGGCTTGCTTGCTGCCGCCAGCCGCTGTCGGAGGCGTGGCCGTGGTACGTGACGAGCGGGACTTATTGCGTGGTGGTAATTCTGAATTTCAGATATTTTTTTATGATTTTGATTTGAATTGCGAATACAGATGAGGTATATATGTATACGGTTCATGGAAAAGTGGCCAAAAAAAAGGAAAAAAGAAAAAGGTCAAAATTGAAATTAAATGTGTGTTTGCTTTAGTTGTTCAGTGAAACTAATAAGAGAAACTAAACAGCAGCTCTCTGGAATCGGGGAACTACTGGCATAGAACACTCTCGTGGAGTGGCAGACGCACCTTTCGGCGCATAGAACGCTTGCGGTTGTTGTTGTTGTTGTTGTTGCGGTGACAGTGCTTGTTGTTGTTGTTGTTGCTGTGCATTTGCCGGCGGCAATGGCAGCGGTAGCTGCGCTCGCGCCACAACACCACCGCTGCTAATGGCCGCCTGCACACCACCACCCATGGCACCACCCACGCCCGATTGATCGGCTCCATACCCAGATCGTCCGGCTGCTGCGCCGCTCGCCTGCGGCCTGCCACTGCTGCTGGGCCGTGTGCCACGCCCATCGCTGCGTCGCGCCTGACTCGCCGGGGCATTGCGGCTGGAGTGACTGCCGCCCGTGGGCAGCGGGACTATCGAATGCCCGCCCTGATGCCGATCCCATTCGTGCGGATGCGCATTGTGATGATTGTGTCCACGTGATCCACCGTGTCGTCCGCCACCACCCCTCGGATAATGCTGCGCCTCGTGCGCGGGTGGTGGAATGCTGCGCGGTCCGGCACCACGCTGATTGGGATGACGCTGCTGCGGTTAAAGCATGTAGAATATAGTATGAAATAATTAAGCAAGCATCAGTCGACTGTCACCGACTGCATAATACTCGTTCAAGGTATTCTAAGGGGATTCAATTGACGGAATATATATCATTTAACGAGGAGAGATCTCTGTCTGGGGAAGGAAAGCTGAAAGCTGAAACCAAGCTTACTTGAAATTGGTATTTTTTTCGATCTGGAAGCGCTCTTGGATTATATGCATATTAAGTTGTAAGTCTCTAGCGACCATATCAGAAAATAGGTAGAAGATAGATAGACAGATGATGGATGGGTCATGATATGAGATATTGGTGGAAAACAGTTAGATGGATAGTGATAGATAAATAAATAGGTAGATAAAAATTCTCCACTATTTGAGACGTAATCTTTGCATTTTAGATACCAATTTTACGCTTGGTTTAGACTCGCCACACCCCCAATGGATAATGTATATATATATATATCCCTGAAAATATTATACTGGAGCGTAAATGTACCCAATTTCAAGCATCTAGATAAGCTGAGCCCAGCAGCTGAATGGGTAAGCGGACATACAGACGGAAATACAGCAAGAGAAAGATTTCACACTGGGTATACCCCTTTGCACTAGATGACCGAGTATGTGAGAAATTCGAATTTATCAAAGCGAAATTTACCATTCGACGCAGCGTATTCATGGGCGCACGCAGCGTTTCGCTGATGCGTCGAGCCCGGCGCTTCTTCGGATTGGAGCTGGGCGTGTGCACGGCGCAGCACTTGATGAATGCGCCCAGGACGACGATGAAGCCGACGCCAATGAGCACCACCAGATACCAGTTGCCGGTGACCCACTCGGTGACGGTGAGCAGGGTTTCCCGATTGAGCAGCAGGTTCTTGAGCCGCACCAGCGGCCCGTCGGCGTCGACGGCGCGACACTTGAGGAACACGTCGCAGTAGCCCTGGAAGTTGTCGCAGGGCGAGCCCGGCTGCAGGCTGATGCCACCCGGCTGTATGTTGTATTCGGCGGCGAATTCACTGGTGCTGCGACAGGTGGACGTATCGTTGCCATCCTGGCAGGCCAGCTCGCAGAGCTTGCGCTTGTCCACGTGCGGCAGCGTCGTCGAGGTGAGGAAGCACTTGGTCATGTTCCAGAGCAAACAGGGCGACCCACTGCACTCGCCGCGTATGCACAGGGCGGTGCCATTGTTGCACATCGTCTTGTCATCGCGGTGCCGGGGCTCGGGGCACTCGGCCGTGGTGCCATTGCAGGTGCTCGACCAGCTGCACTCCGTCTCCTCCTTGCACTTCTGATGGAAGTGCGAGGGCACAAACGCGCAGGAGTTGGCCAAGCAGCAGGGGCCCTGCGAGGGCGAGCACTGCGTCTTGGCGCGACGCCTGCAGCCCTTCGCACTCGAGTTCAGCGACTGATCGTATTCGCTGATCAGGCGCGGATAGCAGCAGTTGTCCTTGCATTCCTCCTCGTTGAAGCCACAGTCGCATTCCTCGCCCGACTCCACGATCTTGTTGCCGCAGAAGGCGCCCTCCGATGCCTTGAAGCAATCACGTTTCGTGTTGCCCACCAGCACATCCAGCACATTGGAAATGTTGCGTATGGAACAGGGTGAGAATTTCGAGTTGTTGGGACGATCGCCAGAGGTGGCGCTGGCAAACATTATGAAGTTGCCATTGGGTCCACTGGGACGGCATTCTTGTGGGTAGTCGTGCTGTGGAGCAGATGACAATAGATTAGTAAGCGTTGGAATAATGGAATGAAACACTTAAAATGACAATAAATGATATGCGCAATGAAAGATCAGCAACGTTCATGTCAGATAATTAAGATATAATGTAAGTTTACTGGTTGGTAATTTAGTGAGGAATTGTGGAATGAAACACTTAATTCCAAATTCATTTGGCGTGCATAATACATGTATACTCATTTTTGCACAATCCTATATGAAAAGCAAGGTGGAACGATGGAATAGAACATGAATTATATTTAAAAAGTTAATCAAATTATGAAATTGAATACAAATATTTTAAAAAATTATATTAATACTAAGTTAAAATCAAAATAGTAATCGAATAAATAAAGTAAGAAAAGCTGGTATAGTAATGTTAAATTTAACTGCAAAATATAATGGAATGCGGAATAAATATAAATGTTTCCTATGATGAAAACCTGAAACTAGCGAATACCTAGTTATTTCTAACTTGCATCCTATGCATCCCCACTCTCCAGCCACTCCATCCACTTACCGGTGATCCGAAATTGTGTCCAATCTCATGGGCCAGCGTTAGCTGCGACACTTTTGGTGGGACGCGACTGTTGTAGTTGACGAAGGTGATGATGCCTGTGTTCAAGGAGCGCTTGGTGCTCTGATACTGGCCGCCCACAGTTTCCGTGTAGGTTTTGTACTTCTCGCAAATGCCGCCCGAGGCGCCCGATGCGCTGGCCACCCAGGCCAAGCCCAAAGTGCCGCCCGTAAAATCTCTGCAGGATGGACACAGAGAGAGAGAGAGAGAGAGAGAGAGAGAGACGATTGAGGTTTTAAGTCAAGTAATTTATTATTTGATGTGGCACTCACCTATAGGTAAATACATAGGCTAGACAAAAGTCTGAGTGATCCTCTAACGAGTGGAGATTCAAGAAGTTCGAGACATCCATGTGCTCGTTACAAAATGCATTGTGTGGTCCATTGTAGGAATTGCGACAGGCGGAATCGTCGTCGATTTTAATGCGTTGCACCTGGAGAAGAATTCCCGAGATTATAGTTTACCAAATAAAGTAGTCTTCCAATATCAATTAATTTTAAGAAATATTATTAATATGATCTAGTTTTCATTTCTTCCATTTTCACTTTCCAGTTTCAATCTAAGCGGAAGTTAATCAATAATTTTTAGGTATTTCAATTTCTATGAATAATGTAGAGCTTCTGTACCAATAGTTAATTCTATCCCTCATAAATATAAATCTATAAGTCTATATTCAACTCGGAAAGTTTTCCAAAAACATTTCCTTGCTCCTTTAAAGCTCTATAGCAATATTTGTTCAGAGAGTTGCAGTTCCAGTTTGTTTTACATTACTTCTACAAAATATACATATGAATGCTATCATCCTTAACGAATATGAGTCTTAATGAGCTCATTTTTACTCAACTAAAATACTTCAGGATGTTCCATTAATATGCTATCGACAAATTAAATATTAATACTCAGATCAAATTTAAGCTCGAACGCAACTTAATTTAAACTTCCATTTCGTTTCACTATTGAAATCATATACAAAATATCAATCCTTTCATCTTAAAGGCCCTTGACTTTAAGGTTTACTGTACTAAAACCCATCTTAACTGGGCGCTGGCGTCAGCGCAACTCGTTTCACGCATAATTATTGGGGCTGTCTGCGCTTAAACGCTTCTCTTTACAACCCTGATGAGGTTGTCCTGGTTCCTGGAGCTGCTGCTGCTGCTGCTGCTCTGGTCCTGGTCCTGGTCCAGGGACACGCTCTTTGTTCTGTGGCCATTGTTGCCTGTGGACTGTGGGATGTGGAGCCACCCTTCGAGCAAACGCTGCTCCGTTCGACAATTGGCAACCGGCAGGGGGCGCTGCTGAGCTGCTGTTCACTCACCTCAAAGCGTATGTTGCGATGCTCCGTCCGTCCATCGAACTTTGTGTTGCGGTAAATGTAATTAACGGCCGTCACATGATGTGCAATCAGCGACGTGATTTCCTCGCGGGTCTTCACATCTATCTCGTACTTGCGACCGCGATCGTGCTGCGAATGGGCCAACATGAAAAGGGAGTCATCAAATTTTCACAAATTAATTTTACACACACAAATATAACAGCAAAAATTAACAAAATAAGTACAAAGGGAAAATTATATTAAAAATAAAAATCAATGGAGTCGACTTTTGGGCGCGAGCGGACGAGCTCGCTCGTAATAAAAATCTCAACCGCAGCGCCGCTGCGCTTGACATTTTGAGCAAACAAGGGGCGTGGCAAACAAAGCAGCCAGACAAACAAACGACCCCATTCCCCAGTTTGCTGTTGCCCGGGGTCCCAGCACGCACCCACCCGCACACACACTCCCACACAATCACACCCTCACACACACACATATACACACACACACACAACAAGCACTCTTCAAATATATTTGTATAAAAATGCAAATTCAGCTAAAAACCCGTCGAATATTTTTCAGAACTTTATTCGCTTTTATATATATTCGCGTGCGCGTTGAGCGGGTGGATTTGCGGGATTTCGTGGTTTTTAACCGTGCGGTGTGGGCCACGTGGGGCACGGTCTATCAGCGCACCGCTAACGGCAGTTTTTGGTTCCAAAATCAAAATGCCGCTGGGCTCAGTGACAAAAGGCGAGTAAATAGAACCAGCAAATGAATGGGATATGTGCCTAAGAATACCCTGGCAAATGGCGTTCAAAGAATATGTAAAAATTGATAAAAAAAATTCAAAAATATTTCATAATAAATCTCTGAGATGGCAATATGAAAATTGAATTATATTTCTAGCTCCTTCTCAGAAAATAAAGAGTTACTATAATGAGTGTATAATATTGACTGCTAATTATCTACACCCAACAAGCAAAAAGCCTCTGCAGCCAGTGCTATATTCTAGTATTATTATATGATCTCTAGCTTCTAAATAAAAAAAGTACCCACACAGCTATACAAATCAATATACCCTCTCATTTCATTGCTCAGGCCAATAAAAACACGTCACGAACGCAGCGACGAACGAAACAAATGCGCGAATTATGCAAAACTCATTGCAAATAAACAGACAAAACGGTGAAGAAAGAGCGCGAGGGGCAGAGCGAGAGAGTGAGCGGGTGAGTGAATGAGTGAGTGAGTGAAGACAGAAGCGGGTTGAGCATATCGCAAGAGGGTCGGGGCGGGTGCGCTGCAGAACGAAGCTGACGAGGATGTTGACGTCGACGTCGACGACGACGACAACAACAACAACAACTAGAAGAACAACAACAGCGTGTACAACACGAAAAAAATGAACGTAAAGTGAGGCAAAAGAATTGCTTGCGAACGAGCAAGCGTAGAGCAAAAGAATTGTCGAGCAAAATAGAGGGAGAGAGAGAGAGAGACCAGAGGCACGCAGGCTATAACGGTTGATTGCATGCGCTGCAGATATCGAAGCAGGTCAGCTGATTGGTTGATTGCTTTGAAGACGCCGCCAAGCAAAGGCGAAATTCAAGCAAATTTCAAGGGAGCTATGGAAAGGAAAGGAGGAAACAAAAAATAAAATCACCCTATATAAGGTCGCTCGGCAAATTGTGTGTGGGGCCAGGCTTAAGAGCTGCTTCAATTCTGCTCTAAATGATTTCATGTGTGCGAAACACTTGAGGTTATTGTTAACTCAAGATAATAATTATATATGAAAATTTAATTAAGCTAGGTTGCTAGTTGAGGTAAATTGATTTTGAAGTGATGTGTGCATGCTTAAGTATAATTTGAGTAAGCATGAATATAAATTAATTGACTATTATGTTCAAAATGATTGAAATAAGAGGCATTTCGATTTAAAGATCTTCGTTGCGGATCTGAAAAATACTTTTAGGATGAATAATTTATATAAACTATAGTTTATGAGAGATTAAATTAATTAGTTAATGGCTTATTAGCCCTATAGTACAAAGGTATTCCATTCTATTTGAAAATTTTGAAACTAACTTTTCTTTTGAGATAGGCTCTTTTCTGAACTTTAAAGAAATCATAGGCAACAAATAATATACCTTTATTGAATATATACAAAATTCAAAATTTCTTCATTCAGATTCCACAATCTTGACAGCCAACAACAAATTGTGATTGACTTATTTAAAAATCATAAAATATTAACTTTTAAGAAAAAACTGAATCCGAACTTATTAGAAAGAGATTTAATAAAATAAGAGTCTAAAAAAAACCTATGCGGTGAAATTTGTGCGTTAAGATTCCATAATCTCGACAACTAACGGCAAGATTAACTTGACTTTTAAAAAAATCATAAAATAATCAAGCAACTTTTCAGCAACTAAGCTGACTTTTCAGCTAACCAAAAAACAATTTTCACTTATCGTAGCGCATCACTCAATTTCTTTGAGCAAACAGAAACAAAAAATGGCGTCGGACTGACTACGCGCAGCGTACTCCCCGCCACCTCATACAGTCGTCTCGCTTGCACTCCCTCAAGCATTGCCCGCGCATCATCCAGAAAAATGGGGGCCTTTTGTTTTATGCTTGAGAGCCAAAAAGTGAAGCGTTCGCTCGTAAAAAAATTGCGAAATTCATGGATTTTGTTTTGTGTTGTTTAAGCCACAGTGAAACTGTTGTTGTTGTTGTTGTTGTTGTTGCTTTTGTTGTTTGTGTTGCTGTCGCTGCTTCGGTTTTAATTTGGCGCACGAACTGGCAGGCCACGACCACTCCACAGTTGCCACGCAGCAAGGCTTCCGCCTTCAGCCTTCAGCCTTCAGCCACACCCCCAACCCCAACCCCAGCCCCAGCCCCAGCCCCAACAGTCGCTATCGATAGTCAGACTTACATCAGCAATACTCTCGCGTATATGACGCCAAATCAATGGATCTGTTTGTATATACAGCGAGCAGGTATTCTTGTTATCCTCACGTCCGCGTCCGGCGCCAGATGAACCGTTAGCCGCGGCATTGTTGCCACCAGCGCCGCCGTTGCCACTGGCGCGACGCACACGCTCGTGGACCAGTTGACGCCACTCGGCGACATTGGCCGTGGTGCCCAAGCGTCGTCCGGTCTCTGGATCATAGAATCCACCGTTGCCATCGCCCAAGTTTGCTTCCTTTGTATATTTCTGATGTGGCAATTTGAAATCATCATCGCTGCTGGCGTATTTCTTCGGTGGATATTGTTGCTGTTGCTGCTGTTGTTGTTGTTGTTGTTGTTGTTGTTGCTGGGCTGCCGTTGCCTTTTTGTGTTGCTGTTTCCGGTGCAGCTTTTGGACATCCTTTGACATGGGCACTGGCAGCTCCTCAACCGCTGAATTTTGTATATTCTCCATCCATTGTGAGACCTCCTCCGTTATGCCACAGCCGCCCACGTGACCTGCAAGAACAAAACAGAAACGAAAGCCAAAAATTATAGTCAAGTTGATGTGGAGTTCAGGTTGAGTTACGAGAAAGAAGCTTAAAAAATGTAAAAAAAAAAAAAAAAACAAAATAGGTCATCATTCGAGATGGTTGTAATCGACTGTCTCACGCTGGTTTAAACTTTTAATATAAATGTGATAAAATTAACTTTTTTAAAATTTTTTTGAATGATTAAGCTATATATAAGAGATTTGGTATGTACTATATAGTTTGGATGGTTTGATATTTTTTGTAAATATGAAACTAATCAAAATGTGTATAGCATATATAAGATTTAATCATATTATATTATATAATTTATTATCGAGAATATGTTGTGCGATATACAATATATTGCCACCCATAAAATCTTCAATTTCCAGATTTCCCAAATAGCACATGGATAAAATCCTATCATAGCTCCGCGCAAAGGTCAGAACTCAATATACCTTCCTTACTCACTTTTCAAGTAGGGAAGAAGATAGAAAATCTTTTTTCAAGCACGTTTTCATTTTAAGCAAATTAATGCTGATGCAGCCGCAAAAGGCAACAACAACATTTAGTTCTGTGTTCACCTACTCTGGACGTGGGCCAAATCATTTTATGCGAAGAGAAAAATGGTAATACTAAAAAACAAAGAGAGAGAGAGAGAGAGAGAGAGAAAGATAGAGAGAAATATAAAAAAAAAAAAACGGTAGAAGAAGCAGCTCAGCATTGCATGGGTGAAATTATTTATGGTGCACAAAATGAAAACCACGAAAATGTAATTAAAGCGCAAAACACACAGACACAGAGAAAATGCCAAGTGCGGGTGAATACAGAGAAAATAGTGCAGAAATAGGTAAAAAAAAAAACGTAAATAAAAGAATAAAAATGTATAATGTGAAATGCCAAAGTCAAATGTTTGAAATGAGAGACACAAAAAAAAAAAAAAATAATAAAATGCCGACAGAAAATAAAATGAATTACAAAAGTGTTGCATACTTTCGAGCGTCCACTGCAGTTCAAACGTAACATATGTATAAAATTAAACACACGCACACATAAATATATATATAAATATATATATATAGCAATTTGTATTTTATTTATTTTTATACACATTTAAAACTGTTGCCTGTTTAAATGCATTTACTTTTTTTCGGCCAACGGAAACAGTTAATAGCCACGAGTCCGGTAATGAAAATTTATTGTTTTATTGCTTAAACGCTCTGCGGCTCCTTCGCTTTGCTCTCTGCCCCGGCCCTGACATTTTGTAAATTTTCATTTTATCTTGACGCGTTTTCCACACAGCAGCAATTGTCAACTGAGGCACTCAGAAATCTTTTCTTTTTCCTTTTTTATGTTTTTAAAGTTGCCCGCATTTTTTTATGGCTCTGCCCATTTACATACATTTTGCATATCTGGCCTGCAATATGGGCGCACTGTTCGCTCTGGGGCAGTAAGACAAAGCCCAAAGTCACTTTAAGTGAATTAAGAATACAAAAGAAAGAAAAAACTAAAATTTTTATAAAAAAATGAAATCATTTTTAATCTGTGAGCACTTGAGGCTGGTAAGTGCTCTAGACATATAATTCTAATGCCATAACTTTAAATTTTACTCTTAAGATTTTGTTAGTAAAAAGTACTCTAATTTTTAAAATATTACAAGAGACGTAAAAGACTAAGAGTTAAACAAATTTGTATTTATATATAAAATATTAATATGTATATAAATTGAATTTTGTAATCATATAAAATCTAAAATCCTTTGAAAATACATACTTCAATAATCGATTATTTTGATTAATATTATTGAAGAAGATTCATTAATTTTTATTCAATTGTCATTTAAAAATTTCCTTAATTAAACATCAAAAGGGCTTAATTTATTTGTGCTTCTGCGCAGCATACATTAATAAAAAAATAAAAATTTCAGTTAACAATCAAAAAAATTAAAATCTCTTTGAAATATGTTAAAAACTGATTGACTGTACGCAATCGATAGCAATTAATAATTATGAATTTCAAGCCTTTCACTCTCTGAATAATATTTAAATAGCTCTCGAAATAATCTTTGTTTACTCAACCCGAATAGCCCATCACATATAGTCAAGCAGACATACATATATAAGTATATACATTTATATATATGTATATGTATGTATTCGTATATATGTTTCACTTAACGTACGTGCTTAAATCAGCGTATACGCCTGACTTTAAAGAGCATAATCGAAAGTGCGCCGTAGTGAAAATAGTAACAAAAAGAAAAAAAAAGGAAGCTTTTGACTGGACGGGTATTAAGAATTCAGTGCACTTTTCATTAAAAGTTTTTATTTCATTTTTTTTTTTTTTTATTCTTTCTGTTTGTGTTTTTGTACGTTTTTTCTTCTTCTTTTTTATTTTTGGGTTCTACTTAAATTCCATCTCGCCAATGCCGCTGACCGGCTTCAACGAACCGTTAAAACTCATAACAGGCCACCCAGTTTTACGTTGCGGCCGGTCCACTACTCCCGGACTTCCACGACCTCCCGCACCATTCTCCCTCTCTCCCACTCACACACAATTCGAAATGGGATTTCGGACTCGGGGCCACAGTGTGTACACACTGGCTACATTGCAGTTTTCAGCTGTGCCATAAATTTTTATTTGGCCGCGTGCTATTGTGTCAAGTTGGACGCAGAAGTGTGAAGAGCAGGAGTTTTGGGGGGAGTTATGACTGCTGCTGCTCCTGCTGCTCCTGCTGTTGCCATTATCATTATGCTTTTACACTGTTTTCCCTTACCTGGCCAACAGCTCTTCTTCTTCTTCTTCTTCTTCTTCTTCTTCTTCTGCTACTACTGTTTTTTATTCAAGCCAACGCACAATGCACTGTTTGTCTTTATTATTTCTTTGCGTGGAGAGTTCACGGTGTTGCCAGCCACAGCTTCAGCTGGTTGGATGTGTGGCAACGCCACAGTCGTATTGCCACAACAACAGCAATGAAAACGCGACCTATGCCAAAGCGCAAATTGTACGGCAGGTGCTAAAGAGCTAAAGAGCTCGAGGAGCAGCGGCAGCAGCAGCGGCAGCGGCAGCCACTAAATACATAACACTCGACAAGCCAAGAATCCGACAGCGCGCAGCTTCCGCATTTTCTTTTCCGCTGCATCTCGGCACTGGCTCTGGCACTCGACTCCCATCCCATCCCATCCCATCCCATTCCATTCCATTCCATCCCAACCCAATTCTCCCTCAACAACTCTCTCTCTTGGGTGTAATTTGCATTTCAAAGGCATCCTTCCCTTAATTCTCTGTCTCTTCGCTGTATGCCCTCTAAGCATTACAGCTGCACAGGGTATACTCAGCTAGGAAATTATTGCGCAATCATTTCATGAATATGATTAGAAACAATGCTAATGTGCGCTGAGAAAACCTCAAGATATTTATATTATTTTCTAGGATTAAAGTCGAAAATTGCTTGCCACAAAAATTGTGAATAACAATTTTGTGAAAAACAATTTATGTTTAGGGTATTCTTCCATTTAGATTTGGCTTTCGGTATTTGATAGCAAACTAGTTGAATTTCATAGAATTATACAAATCGCACCAATGAGTAATAAAGAGTAAAAAATAAATGTTTAATAAAACATAAATGTGCTTAAATTTTAATAAGCATAATAATGATTATTAAAGTGCTAATAAAAACAAATGAATGGTAACTGCGAAGAAAAATTGAGAATTGAGAAGAAAAATTGAAAAAAAAAAAAACATATATATAATAATAATAATTAATGAAGAAAACATTGAAACAGTGCTTATAATTAAATAAAAATTTATATACAAATAATAATAATAATAAGTATATAAAAATATAAATAAAAAATATAAACACATAAAAAAAAATCATTGAAAGAATGCGTACGATAATGCCCGTAAATATTATATTAATATAATTTAAACAAAATAATAAAAATATGAACAAAATAAATTAAAAAGAATATTATGAATTTAATAATTATCAAAAATTTAATATTCAATAAAATGTATAATAACAAAACGAGTGACATAATAAATATCATATCTAATGATAATGATAATGACGAAAGTAAAAACTTTTTTATATATTATATAATTAGACGTTAACTGTTAATGAACACTCTTTTCTATAATGACCTAACAATTCTCTAACTGCGAAAGTTCTTCAATGAACAACAGAGATCCGGCGAGTGTGCCAATCTGTGAAGCACACCTCTTTTACAGTTAGTTGCACCCTTTACAGGGCTTCTGCCTAGTCGCCTAGAATTTTGATTTGATTAGGGCAAAACGGTATGCTCATTGTATAGCGCTTTGTGCACCGCGGCATTACCATTTGAAGGAGGGAGGACTCTGCTGCTGCTGCTGCAGCATTTTCTTCTCTTTTTTTCCTGGCTTAAGAGCGGTCGCTCATCTTACTCCAATGACCCGTTTTTTATTTCGCTTTTTTTTTGCCTGCTACTTTTTGTACCTTTTTGTTGATGGTGTTGCTGTTGTTGTTGTTGCAGTGCCTTTACTTTCTTTTGGTTGCTTTTTAGGACAGCTTTGTTGTATCTGTAGCCCGTCCATCACTCTACTCGTCTGCTGCTACTGCTGCTGCTCCTGCTCGTCTTTTGGGCGCGAGGGGTGAGGAGTGGGGCGGCTTGCATTCAATCGTGCTTATCTGATGTGTTTGCCTGGACGCAGACAGCCAGGCATCAGCTGGATCCTTTTGCCCAAGATGTTGTCTGATTTTCGGTCTTTATGCTGTGTGCCCTGTTGCCTTTGAGTGTGGCCCTCGAGATGGCAGCTCCTTCTCCATGCCCATCTCAACATCTGTGTGTGTGTGTGTGACATTTGTGTAGGTCCACATAGGTGTGCGTGTGTGTGTGTGTGTGTGTGTGTGCTCGTATGTGCTTGGCCTCTCAGCACTCGCGCCATTTCAATCAGCAGCTGTTGGCGCAGTTTACTTCACATTTCATTTTCCAATTCTTTTTTCTC